TAATAATCTTTACTTCCACTTCCATATTATGAATATTTACAAGGGCGGATCCAGGAATTTGTTCAGGGGAGGGTGCCCCCTGCACCCCTCCCCTGGATCGGCCAGTGATTTACATATATATATATATATATATATGTATTGATTCATTTTTTTTTCTTAGGGAGACAACAGGGATCTTATCCAAACCCACAAATACTTAGTCTGGTAAGCCTGTGGTGGCTTCTTTAGGATCTAAAAAATATTGCTCAGAACAAATAAATGGTTTACAGTCAATTCGCCCACGGACCAACTCSCCCACTCATAAAATCATCGTTCATACGTTTTTTATGTCGCTAACTTTTTATAACAAGASAAAATAACTGTACAGCTTATTAATTAAACCATACAATATTTGATTAATAAACTTAGGTAGACTGTATCGTGAACACMGCAGGAGGAATAGAAGAAGACTTTATGAAGTGCCTTGCTCCTACKTATTTAGGAGACTTTGCTTTAAGTGGAAAGACATTAAGAGAAAAGGGCCACAATAGGACTGGAAACTTACTTGTTCCAAATGTAAACTATTGCAAGCTTGAAGAGTGGATAAGCCCTATRCTAGACAAGATGTTGGAAGAACAAAATCAACTGGTAAGTGGTAAATCCAAGATTTTATCATAATATGACCCATACTCCCCTACTCGCATGCTTTGATAAAACCTATTTGGAARAAGTCAAGATGAGGACCAGACTGGTTGACGTGAACAAGCTGGAAAAACCTATCTGGCACTCTTCACTTACAAGTGCTGTATTTATCAATTTTAGTAGGATTTTTCAGCCTTTTTAACAACAAAATTGGGTCATATGATGAAATACAATGTACTTATTGACTGAGTTAGGTTGGGTTAGTATGCAAGGTCTGTACAAATGACCAAGAGCCAAATAGTTTTTGGTTCCCACTCTGTCAATAAGTACATGTATATCATTTGTATCCATGTATAGAAGTGGGCTGGGATGGAATGGATAATCTTTTTTTTATTTTAACTTTTTATTACACTCACAAGAAACATCATTAATAGGCCCTTCRCCGTTAACGGTCACGTGTCTGTACTGGAATGCAAAATTTTTGTTTTTATATTAAATTGGTGATTCTTTTTAGCTACTTGTAAAGAACTGAATGAAACGATGTGTAACTAGTGTGTCACGAAATGCAGTTTCATTATGATTAGGGACCAGTCATTATTTAAGTCGGGGGCCCTCAATTTTTTTTTAGTGGAACATGGGGGGCCTATTGAAAGGTCAAAAGGAGGATTGGGAGGATTTTTTAAACGTTTGAAAAGCAGAACCTGAAAAAGATGAATGTTATTAGGTAGAGGTCTGGAAAATGTTTTGCAACAAAAAACATTTTCTCCTCCACCCCTCCTCCTCTCTGACTGGTGACTGGTCCATCACTTATGACCAAATGCAAAGAGCCCTCAATGTTCTTTAAAAAAATATAACTGAGTTGAGTTTTGATGTTGTTTTCTTCAGGGAACCAACTGGACGCCATCTAAAGTTATTAATCGACTTGGAAAGGAAATAAACCATCCAGAGTCAGTGTATTACTGGGCATATAAGGTAACTTGCTGCATAACTCTGACATTTGTATATGTAATAGGACTCCATGCTGTCCAATTAAGAAATTATTGGACAAGGAAAATTCCGAGGACTGTCAAAATTGGATGAGGCCGTAAGCCAAGTCCAATTTGGCAGTCAGAGGAATTTTTCGAGTCTAATTATTTCTTGATTGGGGAGCATGAAATCCCATTACCTATCAATTATATAGCTGCGTAATTAATCCCATATCAACAAGACCTGTCCAATTAAGAAAATAATTGGACAGTTACCTATATGGGATTAATGAGAAGCTGTATAATTAAATTCGTAACCTATACTTATTTCTTTATCTTTCTAATTTAAGAATAATATTCCAGTATTTTGTCCTGCTATAACTGATGGAGCTATTGGTGATGCATTGTTCTTTCATTCTTACCATAATCCTGGCCTTAAAATTGACATTGTAGAAGGTACTTAATGGCAGCCATTCTCAATCACATGCGCCGCTCTAGCGTTGTTTCTGTTGCGGCGAAGAAGCTTTTGGTGGACGTCAATCAAGGCGTTTCCATGACATTCTATAGGCACGTGTCCTTATAGCTTTGCGTTTTCTGACAATGTTATGGAAACGCCTTGATTGACATCCACCAAAACCTTCTTCGTCATGACAGAAACGATCGCTAGAGGGTGCGTGTCATTAAGAATGGCTTTAAGTGATTCCTCATTTTCAAATTATGTGTGCAACCTTGATATGATCTTTTTAAATTTCGTCTATTTTCGTGGTATTGGTYCAGCTGATGGAGGTTGGAGTTYATAAAATACAGTTAAATGAATCTATCCTCTGACATAGGGCTTTTGATTCATAGCCACTTTGGAGAATAACTGTTTTTGAACATTTATTTTTTTATATGAGCTCTACGCTCTTGGACAACACATGATTAATTCAACTTTTTTTAACCGTTCCGTTCATTGACCACCAATAATAGTTCCAAGTCAGGGTTGGAGTTGCTGCGCATGATTCGTAAAGTTATAATTTATCATACTGCGGCAACAACTTGGAACTATTACTCATGGTCAATGAACCTAACTGTAAAAGGGAGTATTCAGGAAAGATCAAGGGTGGCCTTCAGCAAAAAACAAAACAAAACAAAACAAAACTGAAGAATGAGATACTTTTTTTTATTGTTTTCCGTTGTGTTGACGGAAGGAACTCAATTAGCCCCCCCTAAACTCAATTAGCCCCCCTCCGCTCTAAAATTTTGGCATAAGGTGCAGAATAATTCTAGATTTGTCCAGAGTTAATATAGATTTGTYCAATAATCATCGTGTTTTTTTTCTTCTCAAATATTATTTAGATGTGAGAGCAATCAACGATCATGCTATTCATGCAAAAAGCACTGGTTTAATCATTTTAGGTGGTGGTCTTGTCAAACACCACACATGCAATGCTAACATGATGGTGAGAGTTAAGTAAAGCTACCGCTATTTCAAAAAAGGTTGAATACTGAATACTGCATACTGAATAGTGCATTCCAAGACAGAAGTGCATTGTGTGTCATAGTGACATTGTCTAAAGTAGAATTAATAATAATTATTTATTCTATTTTTAGTGTATTCCATCTGAAACAATATACTAACTACATGTAGACATTAATGATAAAAAGGTAAATTGTACGCCGTGAAAAGATAAACTGACGTTTCGGACGCTAGTCCTTCGTCGGAGTAAACAGTTAATTGCTGTATATTTACTTTCTATTTCAAATTAACGAGACCCACGATGCCCTTTTGTCTTGGAATGCACTATTCAATATGCAGTATTCAGTATTCAACCTTTTTTGAAATAGCTGTATATGTCTAGAGGGTGTCATGGTGGATAAAGGTATATGAATATATATAATGATAAAGGGTGCTGCAATATACCAATATTTCTCTCTCCTTATTGGCCAAAATCGTGTCAAGTAATGGCCATAAAAAGTTGTTTCTCAGCAACCCTCGCTTTATCTTGGTTACCATGGTAGATGTTCTCTTTGTATTGTCACCGGTGTTACAACATAGCTACCACATAAATTCTCCAAGTCAAAAAAAAACCACATCTTTTCTACATTTTATTGATAATTTCAGCGGAATGGGGCCGATTTTTCAGTGTTTATCAACACGGCACAAGAATTTGATGGTAGTGACTCTGGTGCAAGACCTGATGAAGCAATTTCATGGGGAAAGATAAAAGCAACTGCCACTCCAGTCAAGGTAACTTAATAAACATGATGGGCTACTTGTAATGTTGAAATTTGGGCAAATATCGTTTCTAACAGCTGTCAATTCATGTGCAGTAATCACTTTTCAAGTCTATTACAATAATATTATCTATTATTTTACAGGTTTATGGAGAAGCAACAATTATCTTTCCATTGCTTGTGGCAGAAACATTTGCAAGGAATTTTTAAGTATAACAATCATTAATGTCCCTGAGGTAGCCGAAACAAAGATCATGTGTACAAGCTAAATGTAAGGGAAATTAATGAATGGAAGTTGATAAGGATAAAATAAACGAGATTTTAAATAATGAAGGCTGTATTTTGTTTATCAAATATTTCTTTCCCACTCATATGATAACTATTCTTATGGGAAGCCATTTCAATGTTACGGCATRTCGTACCGTGTACGTGCTGTAAGTCAGTAACGTAYGTTTTCCACTCATACGATAACCATTCCTGTGGGAAGCCATTTCAATGTTACGTCATGTCGTACCGCGTACGTGCTGTAAGTCAGTACCGTATGTTTTCCACTCATACGATAACCATTCTTATGGCAAGCCCCCCACTCCCTCTTACAAGGGATCCCCCCCCCCGGGACGTGCTGTAAGTCAGTACCGTAAATCCAAAATAACTTCTCTACACAGGGAGCCCAATTTAGATTAAAGTGAATGGTGAAAATAAAAAAGGTCAGAGTATACACCTACTTGCAAGAACGTTGACATACGAAAATAGAACATTAGTGATTTAGTGAGAAAGGAATACATTAAAAGACAAAAGCAAAAGTTCAGCTTCAGTGATCTTCTTTTGTTTTTTAATATAATTCTTATCCCACTAAATCACTAATGTTCTATTTTCGTATGACAACGTTCTTGCAAGTAGGTGTATATACCTGATAAGATCAATATGGGATACCATAGGGGAATTATATAAGAAAACAAAGACGCGCGCGAAAAATAAATGTTTCTAGTGCATTTTTCATTGATTTTTTTACTCTTTCGCATTACGGAGGATATTATCTTGATCTCGAATTTAAAAAAATAATTATTTAATTTTTCCGATTTTATTTTCACAATTCATTTTAATCTAAGTTGGGCTCCCTGTGCTTCTCTGCAAACCTTCCAGTGACGTCACTTGGCGAATACATGGATTCCATGGTTACGGGAATTACACAAAACGATCGATAGCTCTTCGCGAGCTAAAGAGGACAGCAAAGATGGCGACGGAGGCATCGGCGAGGGATGCTTACATACATACAACTTTACGACCTTTTTTCGCCGCTAAGATGCCATGAAAAGCATATCAACTGTTTTAGTTAGASACCTGGTTTCTTTGCAAGAAATACTTAAGGTACGAAATTCAATATACACAACGTAAGAAGAGTTTTTTATGTCGCGTATTTACACTCGCCCAAACTCGCCTTGTTGTTCACTGGAGTAATAAGTAGAGACTCTAGCTGGGATTTCCACGTACCCTTAGATCATTGTAAACATAAGTTTATTCCCACAAGATTTATGAGGTATCCTTTCAGGATAAGTGAAAGTCTAAATAATAAACTATTCTGGTAAATGGTAAGTTTTTAGCTAACTTAAAGTTGTCCCCAAGGTTTTGAGTTGTTTCTTCGGATAATTTTCCGCTCATGTTTTACACCCGGAGTAGTCAATCGATAACAATCGATACCGCTGATTTGATTGATATCGATTGTATCTATCAATCGTTAAAATCAAACTCACACTAAATTTTTGTA